AGGCTTATGTAATTACTGGAATGTGGAATCCTAATGCACCCATGTTTCTAGTACTTAATGAGGAAACTCCTAAAGGTAATTTAATCTAATTTGTAAATTTGTTTTACCTGACATGGGTTTGGTGTATGTATTTTCTCCTGGGAATTGTGGTGCATATGTCTGAGTACATACACCATTATGTTCCAACAGTCCTTGGCTAGGAACTTTTTTGTATAAACATATGCAACATAGAAATGTGAATAATTGTTCAGAGCTGTGTGTTGCTGATTTGGAGACGTTAAATTGGTGTTTGGGGCTTATGTACCCGTTCCCTTTTTTGGTCCTAAGCATTCAGAAGTTGTTTTCCACCTTCTGTACTCAGCAAAGCAGTATAAATCGTAGCCATTGCTATTCTCTTTCTTTTAGTTTTGGGGTGAGTTGATTACAAATAGCATTACATCCCCTTCGTCTTGGGGCAGCTGGAAGTGATGCACTGAAGTGCTAGATTATATAGCAAGTTTCTTATCACTAGAATTGATGTTCTCTGATGTGATGTAAAAGGTTTGAATGCAAATCTGAAGTTTGTTTGCTATCCCAAGGCAGAGCTTGCATCAGTCGCTTAAAGGGCATATCCAAGTATATACAGCCAGTGCCCCCCCGTCCTTGCCGATGGATTTTCAAACCACATTATTTCTAGTAGCATACAGGCAAAGCTCTTGCTGTGCAGCTTGACACAGTTTCTGCTTTATGATATGACTTCATGTGTGTGTGGTGTGGTTTGGTTTTGTGGTGTGGGGTTTTTTTGTGATTTTTTTTTTTTTTTAAATGCCCACTTGCCTCTTTAGTCTGATAAGACAAGGGAACCTGGGGATCCATAAGGTCTGATTCTGAACGTTTATTTTAAAAATCTTTCCTGCAAGAAAGATACGAGTTGTGATGCAACATGATGGTTACTACCTCTCTCTGTGAGGAGTGTTTCCAGAAGCAGCAAACCTTTTCTTGCACTGTAAACCTGTAAGGTACACTTGGACTATTTCAGTCTCGTCCTCTGGTCAGTTGATCCTGCATTCCCCTCTACTTGAAAAAGTTGGAGCTATGCTTCAGTATCAGGAAGATGGAGCTATTACAGATTAAGATTACTGATCCGTGCTTTGCTTTAAAAATATGTTTTGCAGCTGTGAGGACTGTCTGACCCAGAGAGTGGGACAGGGAGGGGTAAAATGTTTTGAGTCCTTGTAACTGACAGAGTATGGGCATGGACGTAAAAAAATTATCTGAAGTGTGTCTTAGTGTAATGAGAGGATTTAGGACAAACAATGCTGTTGGAGACCCTTGACACTGATTTGCTATACATATATATATATTCCCTCAGCAATAAGTTTACACTTTAAAATGTGATCTTATCCTGTGCACATTCCTTTTGTCTGATAGGGATCATGTATCTTAATGCTGTTTTCTTTGCATGACGTTTTGCTCCTGTCTTTATAACAAAGATATATTTTCTTTGTTTTAAAAAGGTATCGGATTTACTTGGTATATTGTTTAATGCATACTCTCATTCTATGCAGCAGGCATGTAGGGTGTAGAACTCAGATGAATAAAATGGGTGCAATAGAATCAATAATTATATAGAAAGGGTTTTCAATTTGAACAACACTTCACTTCTGCTATTTATTGTTTTGAGAAATTTGAACTTTGGCTAATTTTTCTATATGTGACTTATTTTTGTGTTTTAGATAAGCGTGTATTCATGACTGTGGCAGTGGATATGGTTGTTACTGAAGTAGTAGAGCCAGTCCGGTTTTTGTTGGAGACTGTTGTGCGTGTGTATCCTGCCAATGAACGCTTCTGGTACTTCAGCAGAAAAACCTTCACAGAAACTTTTTATATGAAGCTAAAACAGGTATTGCATGTTTGTTTTTTAAAGAAAAGTTGATGCTGGGAGCATTTTTGTCTGTCTTAATTTGGCCTTCATAAAAGTTAGCATGGCACTTGTACCGCAGTAGTTTGTTTCTTTTAACTATTTATTGCTGAGATGCTTAAATGCATAATGGTTAAGTAGCATATATAAATGTTCAATGCCTTTGTAAACTGAATTACAATGAGTCATAAGCTTTGTGGTCTTAAACAATTTCGAACCTACCTAGTGAATTCTCTATAACTTCATACAATCTGATCTGTGTGCAGACATCTAAAGCAAGTCTATTTGACTGGTAAAATTGGGAAATGACCCTTTAATTGTTCACTGTAAAATCAACTAATATGTAACAAAGGGAAATCCTGGCTACTGAGGTTCAAAATGTGAAGGTAGGTGGCTGTAAGAATATAATCAATTAAAGGCAAAGAAACCTAATGGAGAGGTTTAAAAGAATTAGGCTATTACTATTGTCTTTTCAAAGTATCTGAGAAGGTAGATTTCTCCATGTTTTCAAAAAGAGAAGTTTGGAAGAAGATTATCTGGAAAAGTAAGTTCTGCTGCATGGAGAAGGTGCCATGTTTTCACCCCGGTGGTTGCTGATAAGGGTATAAAATGAACTACGTTCTTGTCCTTCACTGCCCCAGGGCTTTTTGAAATGTGAGGCTAAGGGCATTATTGTTGCAATGATTTATTAAATTAGCATTGTTCGTGTGATTTCTTGCTGATGATTGTAACCTTATGAAATGTTCAAATAGCAGTAAAGAAATAACCGTTTTTAGCAAACTCTTCTCTGAAGTATTTCAGTTTGTTAGTCCTTTGGAGTTTGGCTTTTAAGTCAAGTTGTACAAACACTGCTCGACTCTACAGAGGGAGGAAGTGGTTAAGATGAAGCTTAATGCATAGTTGTGTATTCCCTATATGTTAGCTTTCCCAGTTCTGTGCTTGTGTAATTAACGTGCATTTACTTCTTCCTCATGCACTGAGAGATGATATATCCATCTCATCTGGTAATGTTTGTTGAATAGTTATCTATTGAATAGAATGCTAAAGTCTCTTCTGTTTTTGGCATTGGGTGAGGTACATAAAGACTGTATGTCTGCCCATTATCATTGTAGGATGATGCACAACTGCATCCTCCTGCAGCGACTGTTGAACTGCTTTCTCCAAAGACTTATGTTGTGGTATTGGTTCAAAAAGTGAACAGCAGAGACTAACTGTATTGTTTGCATTGGAATAGTGGTCCATCATCTTTGACTAATGAAACCAAAGAGCAGTGATTTAATTTTACTGAGCCTAATGTGAATGTTTGAGTTGTCATCTTCCTGTGGGGTACAGTAATAGGTCTGAAAAAACAGGCTATGTTGATATATTACATGGCAAAAGTGCAGCTGTGTTTAACACTTAGTGAGTAAATAAATCTCATGCAATGCTGTTTCTGTATTTCTTCTAGAGATTAGCATAGCAACTTGGAATTTAAGAAAATCTGAGAAAACCGTTACATGCAAATGTTGATAATTTCTTTAAATTTAAAATGTAGATAATACATTTGAAAATATTACATTCTCAGCTGTTTGATACTTATCTATAATCAGTTAAGCTTTCCTTTTAAATCACTTACAACTGTACAGTTTTTAATTGAGTAATATGGATGCTTTCTTTTTTTCTTTCTCACCCCTTATAATGTGACAATATACACGTACCTCCTCTTCCTGAAGAAACACATTCGTTTCTTCCTGCTGTAAAATTCTGAGGAGCTGTTCTGCAGATTTTTGGGAAAGGAATGCTTTTAATCTTTGTACTCTTTCTACAAGATTAAGTCATGATTATGGATGACAGGATCTCTCTGGCTGACCTGTAGCAAGTCTTTATTTAGCCAATTACCCTTTGGACAGTTTGTGTTGCGATAGCTGTTCCTGCATATACCTCTGAAAGATGCTGTACCTCAGGGCACATTTACTCCTTGGAAAATAACTTTGCAGATGGCATTGGGATCAGCCATTTGTGAACTTTTGGGGAAAGCAGTTGAGCTTAAGTAGATTCTAGGGAATGTAATGGTGGATTAATATCAAAAGCCTCAGCTCCAAAGATAGATGGCTTCTCTGCGCAGGACAATGAATCCTGTGGTATAATTCCGTGCTGATGTAAAATCATGACAATAATGCTATTGGTCATTGTGCAAATGTAACGTATTTGACTGTGGGTGAGAAATTCATGCATGCAGTCTGCCCAGTTCCAAGTTCTAGCATGCAGAGTCCTTGGCAGGAAACTTTAGACTTGGGCTGTCTCAGCAAGGTGCCCATTTCAGTATGGAAGCATCCATTACTGATTTTCCAAAAGGAAGCAAGCAATGAAATGGTATTTTCCTGCAAGGGATAAGTGGGATCTGCCTGTATTGGCAAAGAAAAATCAGAACTCTCCTGAGGAAGGATTCAGATAGATTTAAAAGTCTGAACCGAGATTGGTGAGGTGCAATCAGATATGAGGAATGACATAAATGCAGGTTGCTGTGTGATTTAGGATTGTTCTTTCTATCTGTCTATCTATCTGTGTTACTCATGCACATTTTCATCATTAGAACATGTTCCTTGTAAAGTTGGATTCCTGTAGATCACAAATTTGTGCTTCAGGAAAAACAAATAACTACATTTTTTGCATTTGATAGAGATGGGTCTTGCAGTTAACCAGAACATGTACAAGGAGCTGAAGACTTGTAATTCTTGTAACATACAACAAAATCCATAGTACCTCATGCCTTACTCCCTCAAAAATAAAAGCTATAGATAGCAGTGGCATCGATATTTGATTGATTTAACCAAGTACTTTGTAATTACTTGATAATGGTGTTCTGTGAGAATAAAACAGGGATAATGGCTCTAATATCATCCTGCTAAATGTTACAAAATGCAGGGTATTTATGTCTACACCCCGAAGTTCATTATGCTGACTTCATGAGAAGTTCAGTCAGTAAAACTGGCTGATGATTGGAGCCACTGCTTCCAGGGAGTATCAGCTTTAAAGGAAGCAGACCTGAATGATTAACCTAAAATACAGTAGGAAAGTTTTCTCAGTATAAAATAATTTCTGTTATTTAGAAGTAACTGCTTCAGTCCAAGCAGTGTCTATTTAAGGTACCCATCTGCATAATTTCACCGGCCTGCTGAAATTGCAAGTGCTGGTCAGCAGTTCATGTGCATCTCCAGCGAAGGTGTCATGGAGTCTTCCAACTTTATCATAATTTTGTTTTTTAAATGAATTGAATATTCTCTAACTGAAATTATGTTCTTTTTCTTTTTCATGGTTAATTTGATGTTCTTAATACGTTCAAAAAATTACCTTATTTTAACTGATTAGGCAAGGCAAGATGCACAAAGAACAAAATAGCACAACATTTTCGGCTGGTTCATTTAATGCAATCATTAGTTTGCGATTTTATAAAATTCTCTACGAATATATTAATCACTGCATGTCACTGAATAATAATTGTGTTCAAAACTGTAACTCAGAGGAGAAACTAATACTCATTTTAAAACTTGCAACCTTGTATCCAGTGCTTAAAATATAGGTAACTTCCTTTTCATGTGAAAGTCCATTGAACATGAAAGACTTAAATTTAACTCTGAACTTTTCCAGCTTAAAGTAAAAAGAAAGCAAACAACTTTCCCCTGCCCCTCAACCTTTGAGGTAGTTCTCCCAAGTAACTGGCGAAAGGACAAGAGGAAATGGCCTCAAGTTGTGCCAGGGGAGGTTTAGATTGGATGTGAGGAAAAATTTCTTTACTGAAAGAGTAGTTAAACATTGGAACAGGCTGCCCAGGGAAGTGGTTGAGTCCCCATCCCTGGAAGTATTTAAAAGACGTGTAGATGAGGTGCTTAGGGACATGGTTTGGTAGGCATGGTGGTGTTGGGTTGACGGTTGGACTCGATGATCTTGGAGATCTCTTCCAACCTTAATGATTCTATGATTCTATGATTCTAGTTTGCCTTGAAAGTTATCAAATGTCTAAAGAGACGGATTTGGAAGAAAAACTGCTTCTACAAAACAAAATGATTTCCACTGAATATATTCTGACCTCAAATATAGATAGTTACAAATACCACACTCAAATTTCCAAGTTAATTTAACTGTTAGATTGACAGATATTCATGATTTGTACACATGTGCACACACAGACACACATACGCACATGTCTAAAAGTAAGAAATAAATAAAACTTAGGCTGCAAACACGAATTTTATAGCTAGGTACAGCCAATACTTTTCCCCATTGAAAGGCGTATATTACAAATTACACTTACTGGAAGAAAGACGATTTTTTCTGTTTTTTTTAATAAGTAAAACACTACAAGGAGCTTTTCACAATTTACGGCTTTCAAAAAGCATGAGGTTTTGTTGTTTCTTTAGTCTTGTCTTTTTCTACTAAAAACTCTTACCTTTAAAATTTTTTTCCCCCTCAGGCATTCGATTCCTGTTTCTGTGATGTCAGTTACTCCAATATTTTTCCTGTTTGTTCTCTCCTCTTTTCTTTTGCTGCAGTTTCTCTTTGACCTCATCTCATTATAGCTTTTTAAATTGGAAAGCTTTTTTTATCATTGTTCTGAACAATACTGAAAATGGTTGTTAAGAGGCAGCTTTGGAAATAGTGCAGTTTTATTTATGTTTTCTACCTATAAAACTTAGAGAAACAGAGCTGTCAATTACTGCCAGTCTATGTGTGCCATTGCAAAGAAATCTGAGGGAGTCTTGCCCAAACTATTGATTAGCCTTGATAGGAGATTTGTTTGTATGTGTTTGGGTTTGGTTTTGGCATACTATTAGAACTGTATTTATCAACAGTGGGGACCTAATACATACACGTTTTGTTTTAGTCTGAAGGAAAAAGCCACACAAGTGCTGGGGATGCAATTTATGAAGTTGTCAGTCTACAAAGAGAGTCTGCAAGAGAGGAAGAATTGGTCAGCCCAACAAGTGGAGGAGGGCCTATGTCATCCCAGGAGGATGAGGCAGAAGAAGGTAAGAATAAATGAGCACTTATAGTTCCCATAGATAGTACTATTATATTTCTGCTGTTAACATACTCATTTAATTCTTCCTGTTTGTGTCCATTAGAAATACAACTATTTTGGACAAAAAGATCACATGTAATTTTCTACTAGCAGCAGTTCTTTAGTAATGGCATTTTTACCAACCCATTATTCAGAGTTCTCCCAGTAGCAGCAGCAGCAAACGCATGTCCGTTTTTCTGTATGCTTCAAAATGTGTTACTGCTGCACTTGTGCTCTGCTAACATGATAGAAAACCTTTTCTAGAGGGATTTTCTTCTGATCAGAAGCCATTTGCCTTGAATGTGCTGCTAAAGGACAGCATTGGAATGGGCTTTGAAAAGGTGGCCTTTAAGTGCCTGTTTGTAAAGAAGAAAAAAAAAAAAAATCCCAGACAGACTCATACGGGGAATTCCCCCACCCCCAAACTGTCTGCTTAACATGTGATTCGTCTTCCCTCATTTACAACTAAGGCTTATCAAAGTATCTCCTGGTTCAGTTGGGGATCATGTTGGGGATTGCTGCTGTTCATGGACCCAGCATATTTGCCTGCCCCTTCCAAACTAACAGTACCTCAATGTCTTTCCCACTGGTGTTTTTTTGTTTGGTTGTTTTGTTGTTGTTGTTGGGTTTTTTTTGTTTGTTTTTTTTTTTTTTTTTAAGGCCCTTGGCCTACTGTCGTCTGTTTGTACTCTGAGGGTTAGCCCATAGCATTCAGAATAGGCTTTTGACGTGCCATTTTTGATCTGGATATCTGACCTACCAGAACTTGTGATAGTTCTGCAAAGTTATTCTTCAGATTTCTGACACTGTTCTGTCAGTACTATAAAAAGTCTCACTTATTACAGTGGAAAAATTCCTTCTTGATTTTTACTTATAGGTAAATAGTTGGATATTAGTTTATGCAATACAAATCAGATCCCTGTGATTAACAACGTCAGGAGCAGACAGGTATGGTTACATGGTTACTCTCTTCCAGCTACGAATAAAAAACCCCATATATCCCAGGTGACACCAGGCTTACAAAACCCACAGCCAAGTGGTCTTTGGTGAATTGAAAACTTTCTGCTGATTCCTGGGAGAGAGCGGGATGGGCATTGACTATCACTGTTATTCCCTCCTTGACATCAAGTACCACTTCTGAATAGTAAAAATACTATTTTCTCTAAAGGAGCTTTTATATTTAATTGGTATTTGGGATTGCTTTACCGTTCATAGCAAGAATTATTTCAGATTTGACCTTTGGGTCTTGTGGTTCAGTGTAGCGTAGTTCAACATCTGTGGGTGTTCTTTTCCTTGCTGGATGTTTGAGTTGTATAGTCAGAATGTTTTCTGGAGCTTGTTTGATAGGATAGGGTTTAAGTAATTACTTGAATACTTTTTTTTATATTGCTTCTTACTGGGAAGAGTAAAGCACTGTTCCAGAATTTGATGAATGTAGCACAATTAGTAATAACGTGGATATTGTCCTCTTAGTACTATTATAGAATGGCTTTATTTTATTATAGGGTAAAAGTATTCCACTGGGGTATGAACCTAAGTTTAACTTTGGTTTAGTTTATAATGCTAGTTTCCATGTTTTAAATGTAGATTACTTCCTAAGAGAAGACATTAAAAATATCATGATGTGACTCTGTTCTCATGGAAACCGCATTTAGAGTTATCTGCCTAGTAGTTATCTATCCTAGTGGATATGCAGGTTAAATGAGTCATTTGCAGTTGTTCTAAATAAATCTCTTCATTCTTTTTCTTTCTTTTTCTTTTCAGGGTACTAATTATGATGATGGAAAAAAAAAACCCTTGAGTTTACAATGTCTTGTCTTAGCCTTGGAAGAAGGCTTTTCCTTTTCTTTAATGTTAAGGATGGTAGCTACCTGGCCATATAGGTTCTTTTTCTGCTTGCAACCTGACTAGGGCAGGTGTGGATTGTAAGGACTTTACTATTTCATAGGCCAGAGGCTGGTGTCCCCATTATAGATATCGAGGATTATCTGTTCTCTTTAGCTTTTTTGCTATATCTTTATATATATCCTACATGCCCACAGAATATTACTTAAGTTACTTTAGAAGCACTATACATTGCAGTTTCATTTGTATAATGCTGTAAGAATGCATGCCTCATTTGCACCTTACTTGATGTCTGTGTACTGTGTGTGTGTGCATACACACAGCTCAGTGGGATGTCTTATGTCATGAGTATACGAATAAAGATGTTCATAAGAAAGAAGGCATTTTTTCAATATTCTTGTTCTTTTTGTTTTAATGAAAGGCTGAACATGATTCCTGCCCCCCCCAATAATGATTTAAAATAATTACTATACTAGTGTTAGGCGTAGTCTCTTTCAAATGTGCAGCAACTGCATATAGAAAATTGAGATCATATATTCCCTAAATAACATTCTTATTTTTTAATATTCTTTTCTCATTTTAGCTTTATTTTTCATCTGAACAGCTATATAAAAAAAATTAAGAACTTTGAAAAGATTGTGCAATAGCTACTTAGAGATCTTTCAGATAAACCTCACTTTAAAAAAAAATTATTAGCATTGTAATAGATATTTCTGGCAACCCAGTCATCTAAGGTTCCTTGCTTTGGAGATAATAATTAAAAATATAATGATTTCTTGTCAAAACCTAGAATGTAAAGTACGCTTCTTGATAAGAAGTTTTCTATTCAATTCAGAATATAATTTTAAAAGATTCAAATATATAATGAGGAAGTTCTTACCTTCCTGGAAAGGTTTCAAATAAAACAGATTTAAGTATCAATTTTTATCAATAAGCAGAAAAGTACACTGTTAATATTTAATTTTGAGTAGAACCTTGTAACAAGGTGCAGAGCACAATTGCTTGAACTAATCTTTCTCCTTTTTTGGAGTAAGTGAGAACATGTACAGAAGTGATGGTTTGTATATTGCATTATTCAAAAAAGACAAAGCTGCACAGAGCATTTTTATTGTAGTGTCATTCCAGGGCAGGATGAAGTGGCTGGCTGCATGTGTGAGCCTAAGGATTGGAGAAAACTGCTTTCCAGCAGAAGCATTCGCAAGGAGAATGTAGTCCTAGAAACAAGTAACAAAGGAGAAGGGGAAGAATAGGTTGGCTTCTTTTAGCAGCAGTGCTTGTTTAGACCATACATGAAATGATGACCTTCCTTTGGCTATAATATTTTAATTCTTTTTTTTTTTTATTAAACTATAATACAACATTTCGGGAGAATACTAGATAACTCCATTTGAGTTTCTTATTGAATCAGAATAATGTTAGAAGGTTAAGGATCACTGTAAGTGGGAGCAATTCTGTTTAAAAACAGAAAATAGTATTTAAACTGATTGTAACAGAGTTGAAGATTTTTTTGCTGAAGTTTTATGTGGTCCCAAGTGTCTGGTTCCAATCCATAAATGGCGTGCAGTGTAAACACAGGATGTTTAGCAGACATCCTGAAACAGGTAATTCATGATAGGTAAAAGATAACATGCCTACCAAATCTCCAAAAAGAAGTTTCTGAGCGTGAGTCATAGATTGCCTCTAGAACACTCTCCGAGGACTTCCAGGAATGCAGTACTGTTCGGGTTTGTGTTTTTATTTACCACAGCGATAGATTTCTTGATGTTTTAGACACTACTTTTCTGACAGCTGGGAACGGAGCAGGGATGCAGTTGACAGCATAGTGGATACTGATCCATAAACAGTGGACTTAAACCAAAAAGAATCCTATTGAAATGTGTTTGATGTTTAGTTATTGGTCTTTAATAAGAAGAAATTATATGTAAGTATGAAGCTGTAGAAGTAAGAAAGGGCAGCAAAAGAGAAGAAATAACAAACTTAAGAGGGTGAAGCTTTCTGTCTGTGTTCTCTCTAGCTGTCTTAACTCTAAGAACAAAGAGATATTATACAATAGAAAAATTAACGTAAGAGGTATGGAAATTCAGCGTGGAGATGGTGAAAGTGAAAATAGAAATGAAAGGATAGAGGACCCTGAAACCTTAAAGAAATCTGAGTGTGATGTATTGGACAGCACAAAAAGATGGTGCGCCTAAGGAGTGGGCAATACTAAATGATCGGAAATGATCAGCCAAACTAAATTAGGATACTGTGTCAAATGTTGTGGGTGGGTAGAGGCTGTTTTCAGGATTCAAAAAAGCAAAGGAGTAGAGGAGGAGGTGTTTTAGGAGTCAATAGAGCTATTGAGAGTATTTTGTGATAAAACAGGGGTTTACAATGAGGGATAGTGTGAACAAATGAGGTTGACTGAGTGAGAAGAATGACATTAGTAGTGTGGAAATAGTCAACTCTGCATTTTTATCCAAATTAAAAGTAGCTTTATGTAATTAATAGGAACTGTTTGTTATATTAAACCAATACAGAGTAATGTTGTTGCGTCCTAAACAAGATCAGTTAAATCTGTGTTGGAGTCTTCCTGCTATCTCCATAAAAATGAACTAAAACTTTATAAATCCTAAATTCATGAGGCCATTTGTCTTCAGACAAGAACCCTTTGCTGCACTTCCATAAGAGATGAGTTTTAAAATACAAACACTCCTGAAGAATGCAGATCTATAGCTTCCAAATGAAAAGAAAATATTCGTGATGAGCCTGATATCATTTTATGGACTCTACTATCCATTCTCTTGCATTGGATTATTTTCAAGCCTTACAAGTTAACTTTTGCTATTAAAAATCATAGAATCATAGAATAAATGTACTCAATTGACTTCTTCAGCTATTGTGCTGCCAGAAAGAATATGATCCCTTCCTTAGTATATTAAAAAAACCCCCACGGAGTGCAGAAGACTATTTTTTTAATATGCCCTGAATGGTGGCAGTGGCCTTTCTGTTAAAAGGCAAGTATTTAAAATGTTTTGAATTTGAAGCACTTCTGTGGGTTACAGAAGTATTTAATGAAATTGCAGGGTTGTAAATGAAATGGAAAATTGTGGAATTTTAAGGTTGTTTCTGTTCCAGGTTTAT